TCTTTTCGACCTCAACCCAAGTACATATTTATTTTGAGGTACTTTAATATTTTTATGCAACAAATCGTGCTGTGTTTTTGAATGAAGAAGATTATTAGATCTTCCGATAATCGCATCAAGAACGCATCTTGATTTATCAAGGGACGACTACGAGCTTATTCGACAGTCAACCTTTGATTCACTCGTGAAGTGATGCTAGGGTATAAAACCTGGCGACAATTCATACGATATCTGTTTTCAAAGGATCTTATTGGTTGAAAACAAATCTTCGACCAATCAGGTGTATGGACGCAATAGCCTTGCTGGATCACCGAATAGGTTATTGATAAACCAAGATGCGAAAGCACGTAACGATTTAAGACTTTTTTTTTATTCTTCGTTTTTCATTTCAGCCCTCAATACAAAGCGTTGAATACATGCTCTGCAATCAATGATAAATGAATAGGGAATTTTAACGTCTAAAGTATTATTGCCAGTAATTATTGGTGTCTGTAGAATATAAGAATAGCTCCGTTATTCTCCTGTTAAAAGTACGATAATATTGATTCGTGAACACTGGGACCAAGTGATATGACGTCATCAAGGTCAGTATGTAATATCCGTTTACTAGCGCACTGTGTCATTCCAATTTCCATCATCGATCTATTACACCACGTTTATCCATTAGATTTCCCACTTAATCGGTGTTTGCCAACAAAAAGGTTAAACTTCTGATATAGTTGAAGAGATCTCAAACAAATTAACTAATGACTTTCCCATATATAATGTCTTAATACCACAATGATGGCATTGTAACACTTCAACGCATATATTATTTCTTACTTTCAGCTGAATACTGTTGGAACTAGAGAGTGGCCTGGGTGGGAACATGAATGCTTGTAGAGGTGCATTCTCCAATATGCTTTGCAAATACGATATACATTTAACCTTTGAATTGATCTCCAACAGCAACAAGACCTATTCGCTCTCAGAACTGCATTTTTTCTTGTAGGTTGCTTTTCGAAATTGTAGTGAGTTTCTTGCATTTGCGATATAATTTGGGATATACTGGTAGATCATGAAATTTCATTGTGTTCCACAAGTTCCCAGTTGTATTTTTGTTGCATGGAAATTATGCTGTTTCTCAGGTTCATCCTGTCACTACAAAAGTCACCTAGTCACAATATCAAGCTATTACGAACTGCGTCTAATACCTTGACTTCATAGGGCTTTTTTCTTGTATCGCAGAATGTAGCGATTTGATTGGATTGCTCACTAACAAATACAACTAATCAGAACTCTCGAAATCAATAGTGCTTTCATTGGCTAACGTACAATCCTACCAAATCGCTGCATTTTCAAACTTGTGATAAAAGAAAAGTAGCTATTGCAGTCAAGGTAAAAGGCGAAGTTCGTAAAAGCTGTACATTTTGTATAGTAGTGTGAACTGATGATAAGAGATGGTTTACCAAGAAGATTTGAATTGTTAATTTGACTGTCAACTTGTGATTTATATTATGTCTCCTGTATAAAAATCAAATCTCAATTATTTCCAATGATTGACGTATCATTTCATTTCTCTTGATTTTATATCAACACATGGGAAAGAATGAGAAGAAACACTGAAATATGCGGGTAACCAAGCTGAAAGCGATTGTTTTATGCGAGCTGAATCCTTGTCCTAGGAGACATGACTTCCTGTTTCGGTTGCAGGGTAAATTGAAAGCTTATAGAGACTGGATCAATGTTTTGCCATAGCAACTTCAACAAAATGATTTAGTGGCGTATATAACAATTTTCGTGCATTGTCGAAATGTACGGGGTTTATAAGTCATTTTACAGAGTTCCACTCATGTTTTACCACACTTCGAGTAACATACTCTGTCCCTTGATTTATTAGCTAAGGCCTTATGTGATACAAGCGAATTTCGCGTGCATGACGTCATAAAACACTTAGTTTTAGTGGAATTGCAGGAACCACAGAAAATGGGGCAAAATGATGCTATCAGTGTCCCCGATACGCATAAAATTTAGAAATACTCTTTACAATCCCTTTAACGAGTTTACGTTACGGTTTAGCATACAGTAAAAGATTTGATCGCCTACTTCCAAATCTTACATTTAGTCAAAGTAGCAACCTGGGATATTTCGGCTATTACTGACAGTTTGTGGCTTTACCTTAACTTCCTACCAGATATTCTGAATGTGTTTTTTGACATCGATCCCATGTCAATACCCTGGATATTTTCTAGAAAGGTGCAGTTTACCGAAGCAGACGTCAGGAATCATTAAAGATTTATCTGATGCAATGATTCAAACAGATGCTCCTTAGTAACTATTTATAGTTTAAGTTTATTACCGTCTTACGTAAAACGCTTGAGAATTGAACGCAAATTACCATTTATTTTTAGATGTAGATCAGTGGGCTAGAACAATAATATGACGTAGGTGTTTGGGAGAGAATCCGTTCCAGCCAAAAATGGTTCAGATGAATACAAACAAACCCGACCTATAGCTCTACTAAACCAGGTTGTGAACTCATGGGAAATTTATTGCTCTGATTCCATGATGTTTGATATCACGTTGATCTGGACTAGAGCCAACGTTTTATATATTAGACTCGATCTATATGTCAGTCCAACTTCAAACTGTTGAATACGGTAATTGAAATTAAATCCATGTCACATAACATTCCAAGGTTCGCATTCTATTGGTGGTACTTGCTTAAGACTTTAAGATAAGTGTATAGTAAAAGTTGTGCAAAATAGCATAGTATTAAGCCAAGCAATTCTTTTTAACTGTGCAGATTTGTGTTAAGAAATATCTTATTTATTTTTTATGAAACTCTGAGAAACAACATGTTTCAGGTTCTGTTTTAATATTTCTACATATAAATTTATATACATGTATATATCATTTTTCGTTTTATTTTGTTTCTTTTCTTTGTACAACAAGTGTTAGGGGTTCAAATCGTTTTCAAGCTGGGCTGATTGATCTGTCGCCGAAATCAGTACCTATAGTTTTCAGATGTCGACACAATCGAACTATCCTGCGCATATACTAATTTGAAGACTGGTATAGCAAGTCTCTTTGCATTCAGGAACAGCTTAACTACGCCGTAGCATAACAAATAAAAGTGGAAATATGCGCCTGTTTACTTGGTTTGAAATATCTATACAATAGTCTAAAAACAAGATGAACATGCATAAGTTCATACATCTGTGCACCAAGGAAGATGTGATTTTTTCTGAAACTGGTGATGCCCCTTTACGTTTTGTATACCTATTAAGATTCGCGACACCCTAACCTTCTCAGCTACAATCCTCGCCAATGTTAATTATGTGTAACGTAATGATACAACACGTCAAACATATTCTTTAAGAATAATCCTTCTACCTACAACATATGCATGCAAAGAGCGTAAAATTGGCATAATTTGAAGAATTTCTGTTAAATTGGCGTTGAAATGATAAGAAAATACTATATACTGTTTAAACATCGATTATATTAGACGTTTTTCCATCATAAACCATAGAAGTACATGTTATATGACAGGATTATGGTTATTTTATTTTTCTAATGCCAGTTTCTATCATTATTACCTATATTATATTTGAAGAATTGTTTTTGAAATGAGTTTGTGAGGATAGATTGAGATGTTTCAAACCTAGACTACTATATAAATAGTTCGTTAGAATCTGTTAAAGTCATAAATACTAAATAATTACTAAATCTGTACAAATCGTCCAAAAAAAATTTAGACCAAGAAAAAAAATACTTCTCGATTGCACATAATGATTGTCGTAAATCATCATTTTCTTTCTGACTCGATTGGGAAATAGTACAGGTTATTGACTCTTCTGATGTGCCAAATTTTGTTTTTATGTACTGTTTACAATATAGGTACGTATATCAATTTTATCACTATTTTGTTCATGGTTCTCTAAAAGCACTGCTGTATCCAATGGGTCAAATGAATGAGTGGGGCCCGCGGACTCAAGTAGGATTTTTGTCTCGTTGTAGTTGGTATCATTCCTAATATGTTGTAGTTGTATTAATATATTTCTGTCTCGCTGTAGTTGTATCTTTCCTGATTTGTTGTAGTTGTATTATTTCTGTCTGGTTGTACTCATTCCTGTTTCTTTGCAGCTGTATTATTTCTGTCTCGTTGTACTCATTCCTGTTTCTTTGCAGCTGTATTATTTCTGTCTTGTTGTACCCATTCCTGTTTCTTTGCAGCTGTATCATTCATGCCTCGTTGTAGATATCTCATTACTGTTTCTTTGCAGCTCTATTATTATTGTCCCGCTGTAAATGTCTCATGTCTGTGTCCTTGCAGCTGTATCATTGTAATTGTCTCATTCCTGCTTCTTTGCAGCTGTATCTTTTCTGTTTTGGTATAGTTTTCTCACTATGGTATGATCTATTCATTTCAATCCTGTTTCATTGAAGCTGTCTGATTTTGCTGTATCTGTATTGATAAAAGCAATAGTCAACGATGGTTTGTACTATTTTGCGATTCATACCTGGCCATCGATTGTTGGTGAAACTTCATATGTGAATACATTGTAAATCTTATAAAATGTATTGCGGAAGTGACACATGATTGAGACATTGAGCTGAAATGAACTTCCAATATCAGTAGTATTGATTAGTTGCATCAAATATAATATATAATGGGAGACAACTCCATAATTAAGTTTAAAGGAATTAGTATTCCGACCACAATTATTGCTTCATCTTGCTCTTCATCAACCGAATGACCACTACTTTCATTGATATTTGAAACGACAGAAAATGTTTTTGCCTGACATCATTATATAGCAATAAAGGGTACCAGAGATTGCGCCCACTTCTTTTCATGAAAAATAAGGTTTGATTAAACAACTAAGCTATATGAACTACACATCTCACTCATAACTAAGGGCAAATTACTCTGAAGTTAATAATTGCATATTGCTCTATTGCAAACACAGCCTTCAATATACAGCCTGGAATATGTGGAATAAAAACAAACTATTGTACATAGGAAGTTTATTATCATAGCACCTTGATACAATGCCAAATAAATACACAAATGAAATTAGTTCATGCAAAATAAGCATTAAGCATAATGTAACAACCCTAAATTTAACTACTTTGACAAAGCGTGTCATACATGATTTCATCCAAAGACTTTTAAAAAGCACCAAAAATATCTGGACTACCAAAGGGTCATCGAAGTAATCAAAATAACAAGCTAAGCTAATAACAATTAAATATAATAATATAGCATTTATAAATAAAATAACAAATAAATATATCATTGTATTATAGAATGTGTATATAAAAATGTATGGTCCCTTCAGTCTATAGTTTAAATCACAGATAACCCACAATCAACTGTGCCCTCTCTTCTTTTGGCATTGACTTCTGTGTTTTGAACAGAGAAGTCAGATTTTACTTAAATGGTTTCCAAAACAGATTCTATGGTTATGGTTACTAAGGTTTGACCTTTAAAAAAAAAGGTTTGTTACTTTGCTAAAGGGTTGACCCTTAATGAAAATATTGTTACTTGACCAAGACTGGCCTTGAACAAAAGGTTTATTTTCTGAAGGGTTGACCATTAACAAAGGGGGGGGGGGGTTACTTACTAAAGGTTGACCTTTAACAAATAGATGATTACTTAAGGGTTGACCTTTGATAAAAGGGTTGCTTTTTTCTGAAGGGTTTGACTTTTAACAAAGGCATGGTTACTTACTCAGGGTTTGCCTTTCACAAAGGGGTGGTGATTTACTGGAGGGTTTACCTTTCACAAAGGGGTAGTAACTTACTCAAGGGTTTATCATTCACAATTAAGGGGTGGTAACTTACTGAAGGGTTTACCATTAACAAAGGGTTGGTTACTAACTGTAAGGTTGACCACACCTTTTTACAAAAGGGTTATACTAACTTCAAATGGTATATTCATGCATCTATCTATTTCAAAACATGAAAATAAGCAATATAAGATCTTATAAGAATAAATATTAATTACTTTTGCATTGTTTTGTGTACACTTGGTTTTTACCAGTATGTCTGACATCTGCCAGAGATTTCAGGATAATGTTCCTATGATATTTTCAGCAAAAACGATCTTAATCTAAATTGAAGCATGCAGATACACCGGTTTAATGCTGATGAATACATTGCACAATTACCTCAAAAAGAGATTCAATCAATATTTTATGAACTTCTTTCATAGTCAAGCAAATTAAGAAAGGCAATGGATGTGAAAAAGAAAAAGTGAAAATTGTAGTAACTGGAAACTTATTGCAGTAATAACAGGGAAAATAACAATAGAAACTAGCTAACATTGGAAAAAGATTGCAAAGGGAAAATAACAATAATCAAAACACTAAGAGTAACAGAAAGAGAAAATGAAGCAAAACTAGCAATGTAAGGGAAAATAACAATAAATAACAACAAGGGGGTAAAAAGCCTCTAGTAAATGGCAATTTTTCAAAAAAGGAATATTCAGCAATTTAGGACTACATCTAAACAAATAATAGCAAAATTATTTAAAAAATGAAAAGTAGCACAAATGTTTGGCAATAAGGTTCTACTCAGTAATAATACAACTATAGCACACAGAAATAGGAAGGACATTGTTACAGTCAAGTTAGGTATTTGTTCACTTTCTAAGCTTAAATCATAAACTAGAAGAGTCTACTTTATTTAAAGGTAAAATAAATGTTGATTGAAACTAATGAAGACAGACTGTATACTGTCCATTAATAATTATACTACCTAGAATATAATGGACTGTTCGTGTGTATGTTTGACTTGATCATAGATACGCAAAAAAAAAAATATAGTTATATTAGGTTTTCTTCTGTAAAACATTGCGAAAATATCTATAAGGACATTTGACCATCATTTTCGTAAGTTTAAATTCTATCATAGTTTCTATTCTAATTCAAAAGGCGAGGGATATTTTAAAAGGATTCCATGGCAGTGTAATTACAATTAGAACAAAATTTTGTTCTGTTTTTTTATTAGCTTTTATTTTTAATACAGGTTCTAAAGATGGCCTTCTTTCGTCCATTTGACACCATCAGCCAATCAAATACCTGCCCTCTCCATCACTGGGATTTTGATAAGAGGTCATTCAGTGTCCAATGCTTCTCTGAATACACCTTTTTGTCATATTTGACCCTAAATGAAGTGGCTATATTAAAAATAAAAGCGAATAAAAACAGAATGTTTGGTCTAATTTTAAGTAGACTGATTCCAGCGTAGTTTTCCAGCCTATGTATGTATTCTGGTAACATTTATATAAGTTTAATATGTATTATCAAAATTTGGCGTGAATTGTATTGGTATAAAGATGTCTGGATTATAGATAAACCAGACACAGGAAATCGAAAGATGCAAAGAGAACTTATATAAAGTGTCCCAGACACACATTATACACAAGCCAGACAACCTTAAAGATATAAAGATTTCAGACAATATTCATAATGCAATACATAAATGGCCTGTATGAAGAGTCAACTTTTAGATAATTTCACAATGCTACAGATAATTCTGCACCTAATCAGTCTGGACAAGAGAGAATTTAACATTATGTTTATCAAGTCTGTCTATTAGTGAAGTATTCTGGAAGGCAGCTCCAGGAGTATAAACTCCACCAGTTGATGGTAGTTTACTCTTCTCTTTATTTAGCACCACAGCAGCCTGGACTAGACAAATCGGTGTACTTACATACCCTGGCTCTGAAATCACAAGAAATTGAGGGTCAATATTATGCATTTTTGTTATTAATGTTTTCAGTCTTTATGTCCCATAATGTGGCAATACAAATATTCATTACCAACATGAAATTAACAACTGTGAAATTTTCAAGAACATATTTGCATGCAATATACAACAGAAAACTATCAATGATCTTTGTCATAAAATGGGCTTTGAAATTAATTAATTAAAGTGCTCATACTGGTATAAAAATCTCATCGGAACAGCTGCTGTTGACTTTCAAATATTAGGACTTACTGAACTCACTATCGAAATAGAACAAGCTTACACTTTAAAGTATTAAAATACAATATACATGCAAAGCCTATGAATATATCTATTTTTCATCCTGAGGAAAACAATTTACAGCATGGAATAACAGAGGATACAAATTAGTTACCTGGACCGACCACTTTAGTAACAATTTTCTTGGAGGGAGCATTTTCATGTTGAACTTCTACATCAGCAATCTTACTGTCATAGCCTTGACCATAGAATGTCATAGAGAAAGAGGTTTCTTCAATCTAGAATATAATATTCATTATACATAATGTCATGTTACTTATCTCGGTCTAACAATAAACACTTTCTAAACAGATAACAAAATACAACTTAAGCACATTTCAAAGAAAGGGCAATAACTCACAATAGGGTATCTCTTTGGAAGATATCTATTTTCACCAAATCCTCTAGACAGTTATTTAGCATCTGTCGACAGACTGACAGACATGGCTTGAAACCTCGTATAACGATATATATGACGCGAAATTACTTTTTGAGAAAAACGCAAAAAACTATTTGTATGCGTATTTTGTTAAAATCTTTTTTATTATTTTTTTTTACCGCTATACATGGTTTTCATTCTTTGAAAATATAAACCTCGTAATATATTTTACGAGGTTTTAAATCTGACTGTTTATATACGTGTTATTTAATTATTGATTTTTGGGTTATTTACATCAAGCTAAGAATACGAGATTTTGATCACAAGGTCTGCTCTTTTAAGAGCTTTCGAACAGTACCAAAAAGTCAAAATGACCAAATATGGCATATACGAGGTTTCAAGCCGTCACCCACGATATGCAACCTGATAAGTGATCGAGCGTGGCTGCAAGTCATAAAAAGCCTGACATAATCAATGAATAGGGAACAAAAACTTACTTGTTTCTTAGAAGGGCCACCTTTAGTTACCAGTCCACCAGTAAATAAGGAGGGAAACTAATGAAAAAGAATGATAAATGGATATATTGTCATGTAATATTAATACAGAAATATGTTTGACTGGCTTATAGTTCTTTATAATGGCCTTCTTGCTAACCAGACACATTTTTCCATGTCAGCTCACCTGACAAATACTAGCCAGGTAGAAATATCTGGAGCTATTATCTTGACCTTTAACCTTAACACAGACCTTTAAGTCAATGAGCAAGCACCTAACTAGATAAACCAATGCATTGCATTTACAGAAGTTCAGAAGCATGTATACTTACTTTCAATAGTATGCTAGGCATTATTTTCGCAAACAGACCGAAAAATATTCCAAAAATTACTGTCAAAATCATAGAGAAGGTACTAGGACAAGCAAAGTAGGGTACAAACTGAATCTGTAAATACATAACAATATCACAATATAAATATTTCATGGATATCATATTTTAGAGCTGAGTTACATGAAATATAAGAGGCTGTGGAAATATCTAATGATAACCACAATAATTATGTGCAATTATACATCTAAATATCGGCTTTTTATCATTTTTCAGAATGCAACATGTGACATACAGTTACAGTACAATTCAATGAATATATATCAAAGCAGTTTAGACAGTTTAGCATCACATTCATGCCATTATCTACTTTTCCATAGGCACATATTACCAATTACATCAAAGAAATCATTCAGTAATGGTAGTATAATGAAACAGTTCCAATTGTCACAGCGATATACCTACATCTGTTGCTTTATTCTATACAAAAGTACAATTTATATTGTACCAAATGATATGTATAGACTTACCGGTCTAGTTTTATTTTGATCATAGTTAAATCTCTGAGTTCTATTTACAACTGATCTATCACTACCAGGGAATGGTACGCACCATTTATCTATCTCTTCACTCTTAAATACAGCTGATCTATATAAAATACAAGTTAACAGTTATCAAATACAGCTGATCTATATAAAATACAAGTTATAACAGTTATCAAATACAGCTGATCTATATAATATACAATTTAACAGTTATGAAATACAGCTGATCTATTTAAAATACAAGTTGACAGTTATTAAATACAGCTGATCTATATAAAATACAAGTTAACAGTTATCAAATACAGCTGATCTATGTAAAATACAAGTTGACAGTTACTAAATACAGCTGATCTATATAAAATACAAGTTGACAGTTACTAAATACAGCTGATCTATGTAAAATACAAGATGACAGTTACTAAATACAGCTGATCTATGTAAAATACCAGTTGGCGGTGGTTTAATACAGCTGATCTATGTAAACTACAAGTTGACGGTTGTTAAATACAGCTGATCGATATAAAATACAAGTTGACAGTTATTAAATACAGCTGATGTATACAAAATACAAGTTAACAGTTAAAAATCATTACAACTGATTCATATAAAATACAAATCAGGAAAATCTTCATTACAGCTGAATTATATAAAATACAAGTAATGGTAACAGTCATTACAGCAGATTACATACCTTTTGGCTAACTTGTGTTGACTTTTTGGCAGTGGACTGGGAAATAAAGACTTTCTTAATGACATCAATTCCCCAGCATAGGCAAACCCATTGACAGCAGACTCAAATGTAGCAAAATTAATTCCTGCACCCTGCAAAAATAAAATAGAACCAATCATTTTTCTATACATTCCAACAGCATATTCAGAATATCTGATTCTTGACATCTTAAAGGGACAGATGTGCCATTTTGGGGGGTTGATTTTACTCTTGAATATATGTAAATAGTCTTCAGAAGTACTAGAAATGCACGGAAATCACATAATTTCTTTTAAAAATATTTCAAACTAAGAATTTTACTTAAATTGACGAATCGTCATTTCAACCTTCAAATGCGGATAATTCTAAACACATTGATTTAAAGGCTCAAATTTCGACAGTGAGCTGTGAACACTATTACTGATTAGCTCATTCAAAAAATTCCAGTTTCTGAGACTGAAGTATGATTGGTCAAAAAAATGCCTGTCCCTGTCCCTGGGAAATTATATGCATGTTTTATTTAATCTATAAATGTGCCTAACAAATGGATGGAAAAATGGAATTCAGCTTAAACATTTGGACCCTATATAACATGAAGACTCTCCTTAAACAGTCTAGATTTATTCTGGCTTTGTACAATATATAGCAATTCAAGAAAAAAAAAACTTACTGCAGGTCCAGTTTTTATATCCAGATAAGATTCAATAGAATTCAAATCACCTGCAACAAAAGAACTTGTTTAAATTATACTTGATATAAACAAGCTAGCTTATACGATATATGATGGACAAATTAAAAGGTATTCTTTTTTTGGATTTATGCCTTAAGACTTTGAGAACAAGGAACTTCCATGTCAGTATTTGTTAGTAAGCTCCCAGGGTTAAGTGGATCATATTGTAGTGAAAAAAACATTTTAGACTCTAATGGCATGAGTTACCATACCAAAAAAATTGTGATCCCTGAGCCCCAACCTTGTACACTAAAATCACATCCTTTACCATGAGGTATGTCTTTCCTCTGGTACATTAATCAGCAGATGACTCAACAACTGTCCACCACAAGAACAATTGTTGTATTGGCCCTTATTGGGTAAAAGATTCTAGGGGCCTCATAACAACAGGTAACAGAATGTCCAAAGGGTTGTAAACCAAGTAAATATAATAACAATAGTACCAACCTGGGAAGTTATTTCTGGTATATATGACACCCATATCAGCTGGTATACTATCAAACCCACAGCTACCAATAATATAGATACCTTCTTCTTGTGCTTTACCATGATATAGTAACTGTACCTTCTCTAAAAACTATAATCAAATAATTGTCACTTTAAGTATATTGGTATTATCACTGTAACACAGTCAAGGTAAGATATTAGCCTATGGCTCACTGTCTACCATTGCATACAGTATCAAAATATTTGATTTGATGTTTTACAGGGATTACATTGCCCGATACGATTTCTAAAAATTTACCAGCTCCACATAACGAAAAAAAGTGAACAAGTTTTCAAAAAATTAATATTAAAATTGGCATTAACTTTTTTGAATAATATGTGCAAAATTTATTACACTATTTATTCAAATTTGTTGGCCTATATATTCTAAATGAAATACTTAAAGGGAAAGTAAAGAGATCTTCTAAATATTTTTATGTGTATCAAGGACACTGAAAGCATCAATTTGCATCATTCCAATTTTCAATCAGACTTCTGTGGTTCCTGCAATTCCACTTAAACTAAGCATTTTATGATGTCATTTATCCTGAAGTCCTAATGTGATACAGCATATTTTGAGATTAGTAATGTCATCAAACACTTAGTTTAAGTGGAATTGAAGGAACTATCTACAGACATCTGATTGAAAATTAAAATGGTACAAATTGATGCTGTCAGTGTCCCCAATACACATAAAAAATTCAGAAAACTTCTTTACAATCTCTTTAAGATTTGTTTGTACTGGTTTGGTTTGAAGAAATTGTAATGGCAGGTCAACTTGACATACCAGTATCTTTATAGACTACAAGGTCATATTATGGTACAGTAGACAGTACAGACAGATATAATTACTGTTATTCTATAAGTCTAAGAGTAAAACAAATATCATAGGAAAAATATGCTACATCTCTCTTTTAAAATATATTAAACTAATGAAAAGCAATATTTTATATGGATCAAGTACTATTGAGGGAATTAAGTCATCTATGTATTTGATATACCAGCTGATTTGAGCTCATTGGTATTATTTATTATTTTACATCAGAAAGTGGATTAGTGGCCGGTCGTGTGTATGTTTCAAACTAGATCGAAACATCAGACTCTTTTCATGCCTCAGATTCAGAGGTTTTAAACCAATTTTTTTAAATCAGATCCACAAAACCCAGACATTGTCGGAAAGATGGATATTTTTGTAGTTTAGTCATACCATCTTAATCCCCCTACACAATTTATGCCACGTCTGCGATTCCAAAAAGTTTTTTTTTAACGAAAGCGATCTCTCGTTGGCCATCAAAACTGCGAACACAGCCAAAAGTTCAATGGTCACAACAAAACGATAGCAACTGTGATAACCAACTAATTTACAGTCATCGTAAAGGTAATTTAATATTATTTAGCATCTTTAGAGAAGTGGGTATCCCCATCAAACAGGGTCTAGTTTTTCTGACTCTACCCCAGCCAATAACTGTCAAAATATCTATATGAGGCTGTAATAGAGGCAGGTGTTTCGAGCTAGTTATAAACCAGACATGAATATGCATAACTTTGCTCAACTATACATGATTCCACAACTTCACATTGGCTTGATGGATATAAAACAAAGTTGAACAGCTGTGGTCTTCAGAGATATTTAGATTGACAAACAATGAACAGTAATGTATGTATAATTCATGACATATTTAATTGATAACAAACAAAGTACAAAATGGTCACACTGGGAAGACATTAAGACTTTCAAGTAGGTCAAAGATGGCAAAGAAGCACACATCACCATTATTGTTGATTGAAGAGTAATTTGCAGATTTTGGGTGGCTCCAATCGACTAAATAATTATAAAAAACGAAAAGTGATCTATTGTTTATCCAATCTTATAATATGCAATAGACCCTGCTGAGCCCTGATAGAATTCTGCTGAAAATTTGCACCTTAAGAACAGCATGATGATGCAAAACAGGGCCAGGTCAACAAGACGTTAGTGTATATTATATTCATCAGTTAGACTTACCAGGTGTCATGACTAAAAAATAGAATGCCAATATTGATAATAAATCCATTAAACTAAATAATTATTGAAACACTCTTCTAAGTATATTTCAAAATTACCGTACTTAGTTTAATGAATTATTATTTATTTATTGGAATATTAGAGGGAGTTATAACACCAGGTAAGTCCACTGATGAGCAAAGACTAATTTTAACCAAAATTTCAACTTTTTGGTCATCAAAGATAGAGGTAGCATCCCTTTAATTTGCTGCAAAGACAAGATAAATTTCAACCATGCCTGTACAAGGAATGAATGTAACGATGCATGTTGTGAACTATTTTGGGAGCATTTAAGACCATGCTAAAATTCAAGCATGTTTTCCTTTTTTTATCACATATTTTCACTAGAATAGTACATTTAGTTCATTAAATGTAACATTTCTGTCAATTTTCATGTTGTCGTCTGCATTAAAGAGGTATAAAAATACTGACCTGTGGTTCACCACTGATATCAATATGATTACATTTAGCTTCTATACTGGCTTTTACAACTTGTTCTCCATAGAATCTGTACTGTAATAAATAATATCATAATGTATTAACATATTGACTTATACACATAATGACAAGTCCAAAATACATCATAAGTCTCCACAGTCCATATCAGTGTACACATGGACTTGGATGATTTCTTCTGTTTTTTCTTGCCGGTTATTACACTTTCTATCCATAATCGGATGATTTTCTTCCAAAAAAGAAAAAAAATCATATTGAGGAATTTGTTAATTTAAGTGGTTTGACACATAATGAATGTCCCATAAATTTTCACTAACAGTAAAAATATCTATTGTTCAGAGCATTTGATTGGTTGAGTATAAAGTGACCAAGAACATAAGATGTATAACAATTTCATCAGATTGTGGATGGCAAAAGGAAAAAAAAACATGATACAAAATATAAACAGATCTTTAAAAGAGAACTAAATCCCTTAATGTAATCATACACTTCAAGCACCATTATAGATAGGTAATCCCCACCCCCACCTCTCTGATACTAGCTGTCCTAGATTGAGCATTTAATTCCAAAACATACGTAGACAGTGTGAAATGAACAGTCACATAAAATAATGAACGAAGGTGAATTCATATTTGATTAGTTCAACATTTTAATTTACTACAGAAAATTGGAATTTCTGATTTTTCGGCTGCATCACTTCCAGATAATTTATGGACATGATAACAATATGGCCTAGTTCCGTCTGTGTATAATGAGATACAGTTTACAGCTGTATATAACATTAACATACAGGCCTACTAAATTTTAATCTATGTCATGACTCACACAACATATTAGACTTCAGTTCATCACATGGTTCTTACTAACAAGTCTACCAATCCTTAAAGTTTAATTTCCATACCAGTTTGGACTGTGGCTCAGAGAGTCAGATATATAATGTATATAGAGTCTGAAGGTAGACCCTGTCAAACTCAAAGGTTGTGATGCATGTTAAAGAAGCTGTCATGGAAAAGTGTCGCATCTAGTCTTTTGTATTAACACTTAACTGATGTGCCAATGCCTAGGGTATTATCACCATAAATACCGGTATAGGAATCAAAGAATATAGAAATATGGCTATATTGTGATATATGATAGTTATCATGTTATATTATCAAATTATTGTCCAGATAAAATCATTTACCTCAATATTTGAAACAAATTTTTTTTCATAAAGTTTGTGGTGTTTTTTTGAGATATTTATTGTTTTTTCCCATTTAAAATTTCTTGATCACCAGTTTGCTTCAAAATCCAGTAAAAAACATACTTAAAAAATATCCCATTATATACCCATATCATGATATTATATATTAATGCTTAAAATCATCATATCCAAAATCGTCTAGCCCTATAAATGCAACCATTAGTATAAGTGCAAAATATGTTGCAAAAAGTAGGTTTTTATACAAAAAATGTATGTGTATTAAGGTCTTATGTAATAAAGTATATTTAACAATTAGTGACGTCATGAAACACTTAGTGGAATAGCAGGATTCGCAGAAGTCTGATTGAAAATTGGAATGGTGCAAATTGATTCTATCAGTGTCCTTGATATGCATAAAAATATTTAGAAGACCTCTTTACTTTCCCTTCAATTATTTCATTTAGAATATATAGGCCAACAAATTTGAATAAATAGTGTAATAAATTTTGCACATATTATTCAAAAAAGTTAATGTCAATTTTAATATTGATGCTACAATTTGTTTGTAATATGTAAATAGTAAAATAATTTAGGTTACAATTGAATATAGTCCCATATTGGGGTCTTTTAGTACCTGTTATTCCAAGTATAATTTTTTGAAAACACACAATTATTTTTAGAAAACCTTTTTACAATTCCTTTAAATATACACTGGATAATAAACACTTTTTAAAAAGATCATCATTTTATTTCAAGATAACATTAAAATAACGTTCCTCGCCAATTTAAAAACAATGTTTCTTTCAAAAGAATGTCAAGTATTTTATTTATTTATATAGCCAGGGCAAATAGGAGGTCATATTACTATTTTCAGTCTTTTGTTTTTACCTTCACAACAAATAAGGATGTTAGCAGAAGTTATTTTGATTAACCAGTCCCAAAACCAGAGACGAATATTAGTGAGATTGGATAGCCTGGTCAATTTGATTAACATAATCGCTATATACAGTTATTCAAGGCATGTGGTAGAACTTGTTTCTAAGTTTAATTAACCATCAAGTGAAATATGTATACAGGCCATGTTTTTAATCAATGATATTGTTGGATGGTTAACAGCATGATAAAGTATCTACCTTTCTTTCATTATTTGAGAAAAAGCCAACATAATGGCATCATTTGAAAGAAATAAGCAGCAATTTCAAAATCATATTCCCAGCTTATTCTTGGGCAAACTACTCTTTGGCATTTATCTTTCCCCAAATATCTGTGCCCTGTGACATTTTACTGGAATTATGCAGTGTAGTGGACTTAGTTTGATACAGGTTAATAAGAATTTTCAAAACTTGTATTCATGATACAATTCCCATACGCATATCAGAAGTTTCAAGTGTGTGTTCATATTTGCAAAGCAAAACTTAGTGAAAGCGTTTTGATTGGTTGCTCAGATCATAAATATTTATCATCTGGGTAGTTTCAGACGTATTGAAGAGACTGTAACTAGAAACTGAACATAATGATTCAAGTGTTGACTTGAAGTGATAAATGCAATATTCAAAGCCCAAGTCAAGGTGTATACTTACACTAAATATTGCCTATATAATGTTTCATATACACGATACTGGCTTATAGATAAAATGTAGCTCTTCAAACTTTCAATGTTTTTTTTTTCACAACTGGATATTTTCTGAGAATAATGAATAAATGATACTATATAAGGTTATTGATGATAAGTTTACCTTTACAAATGGAACATTTCATGAATGTTGGATGAGACTTAGTTATTGTGCAGTGTATCTAGAATTGTCAAGTATCTACACACGACCATGTGATACAATACCTGATATGTTGTATTGCAATACGCTGATTCATCTATATATCATGCCAGCAATAACTTAAATACATGAATAGAAATCTGTTATCTATAGTTAGAATTCAAGTTGTTTATTATTTAAAACCAGGACATGTCAGTGTGATATAACTAATGAATTATTGATTATTTAGTTCTATCACTCCTGTATTGATATTAAACACATAGATAAAACATACTTGTGATAACTTTACTCAATATATTTCAATTTGAATATTACTCAAAACTTGTTCATATAAAACTAAGTCAGGCAAAACAAAAAAATCATTGCCATCACCTTGAAGGACCATAGCCCGGAATTTGAAAACAATAAACTTTGAAAAAGCACTAGTCTTTTAAAATATTTCTTAAAAAGATCGTTAGATCAAAAATAATTTTTGTAAGTTAATTTCCTGTCTGATCTAGGCAAAATCACAGCCGTGTGTGTGAATTCAGCATCAGTAATAATCTGATGAATTAGTACAGTAACTTAATCAGCGGCATAAGCCTGCATTGGTCATGTAAGTTTAAGTCATCTATAAACCATGAATGTTTTTGAAATCCAATTTAAATGCAAACCTGTATGTTTCGGTTCTTAAAAAAACTTCTTTTTTTTTTTTTGTGACTCTACTTGCCATCTATGAACTAATGAAATTATTACGCATATCATGTTCAGGTTCATTTAAATCCAACCAAGCACAATGAACAAGCTTAAAATGCAAGTAACTCTAGAATTGTCATTAACACTGGCTTGTATTATCTTACAACTTTTAACAGTGTTTTTGACATAAAAATATTAAAACAGAATCTGAAACATGTTATTACTCAAGAGTTCCAGCCTATGTCATCTTCATTGTTTTAGACTTATACAGATATAAATTTATACTTACGGGTCCTACGCAGTTAATAACAGTTTTAGCTTGTTGACACATTTCAATCAATGATTGATCACTAGAAACATCAGCAATAATAATAGGTTTGTCTTCTAATTCTTTTCCTGAAATGTAAAACATGCATACATACATGTATAAGCTTACATTAACCTTAGAACAAAACTAAACAAGTTGGCTGAAATGCCTGCTATGAAAATATCAGATAAATATTAAAGATAAATATTTAACATTGTTGGTTCAGAGGCCTATTGTTTACTGACTGGTCACTTGGATCATCTGCTCAGGATAGTTTCCATTAAAGGGCAGATGCAGCATATTGTTGACCAGTAATACCTTAGTCTCAGAAACAAGAATTTTTTTAGTCAATCAGTAGTAGTATTCACATCTCACCATTGAAATCTGAGCCTACAAATCCATGTGTGTCCAGAATTATTTGCGTTTGAAAGTTAAAATGACGAGTCGTCTTTTCTTGAGACACTGCCATATATACAGAATTTTTTTTTTACAGATATACGAAAAGAAATTCCTTGTTTGAGATATTTGAAGGAATCGTGAGATTTTCATACATTTCCTGTACTTCTGAAGACTATTTAAAATTACATATATTTAAGGCTGAAATGAACCTCTCAAAATGGCACAGCTGTCTTTTAATGCAATGAGTAATAAGGAAATGTGATCTTTCAGAAACGTAAAATTATTATGTTATATGCATATTATGATACTTATAGAGGCATTCAAAATCACATGATGTGGAAAACAAAACATAAACTTAATTTGGAAACATAACATAAACATAATGTACCCCTAGGTCTATTTATATGATCCCAATCAACAAAACTATCAGTGCATTAACACCATAACTTATTATTGCAATAAACAAATGTGATCAAAAAGAGTTTGTTAAAAAGAGTAGATCTGGCTTGAGAGGCAGTTCCATTTCCGATCAGCGAGGCTAATGGTGCTTGGCTTTGGTGGAACTACAAGACTAAGTGTAACGTAAGAGTAAGACCACACCCTCACAAACATTTAATTTCTTGGATTGGAAGTTAAACTCTTTGAGGATTGGTTCAACTCTTATTTTCACTCTGTGCAGAAACACGAGTATTCTTGCAATGCCGTTCGAGCATTTCACATTTACTTCTCAAAGCACAAATAATAATTTTACCTGTCTTTTTTGACGCATCAGACAGAACTTTTTGAAGTTTATCCATCTTTCTCCCAGCGATGGCCCATGTCAAATTTTCTTCTTCTGCAATCCTTGCAACCTCTTCAACAACAAATTGTCCTGTAAATCCCGTAGCTCCAAATATAACAAAATCATATCTGACAGTGCTGTCGGTTGACATTTTGTAATCTTAAAGAGCTTAGCTGTTCTCAACACCTACACGTCCAACACGAAAATGAATAACTGAGTTACTGATGACGACGATCGGAAACGTCTGGATAATTCTTATTTTGAAAACGTACACAGATTATAAATTTTTTTAAACTAAAATGAATACGATATGCTTTTCTGAAAAGGGAGAATTGGTTTGTTCAAATGTCATTTAGAATAAGATTCTATTCATATTTATCTTTAGCTGCTCCTTAAGATTACTGGTTACGTTTTTGCTTCAACTAATGGTTTAGGTTACGCTTTACTTATAATATTGTCCAATCAGATTGTGGCATTACTAAAAAGAAATCACTAAAATATTCAAGAACGAATATTTATTGAATTGAAAAATATTTCATTCAAATGCAATATGAATTAATCTGGCAATTATCATACATAGTCTGCTAACATATTAAGAGGGGTTTTAATCAACTGTTTGTTGATGAATAGTGATAAAACTAATTTCATAAATATTTCGTGTCTGTATTCCAAATCATGCTACTTCCGGTTATTTCACATCAATAAAGAAATCGCAAAATATCACCTGTATTTTGTATTGAGTAGAAATTAACATTCTTTTTGAATCATAAATACGCGTAAAGCATAAATAGAACACAACATGGCAGACTTTGATTTGGCTATGTATGAACAACATGATTCTGGACCTGGTTTTATTGGAATCAGGTTCTGTAAAGAATGGTATGAAAAGTTCAAATTAAACCAATTTACTTAATTGTTGGCACTTTTTCATTAAGATCCCAGTTTATGGAATTCTTTTTCATTATGTATCAATGTGGCAGTATGGTACCAGCTTCATGCCTCCCCTTGGTACAAAGAATTATACCTGTACATACATATACAGTCAATTAACCTAATTTCGTGCTAACCTATTTTTCGTGTATTTCCGGAAATGATTAATACTTTATACATTCTGCCGCCGTTGCAGAGTTGGTTACTCATGAAATATTTGTCATAAAAAAAATCGAAACAAACCAATTTTAATTATTTTGTAGAATATCTGAGGAAACATCTAAGACATAAAGAAAATATTTTGTTTCTTAACTTTGACGAAATTCGGTGTTGAATCATTATATCCATGAAAATAGGTTACACCACTGTTTACATTATATAACATAACATTCAGTTTCAACTCTGCCCTTACACTATTAATGAATCCTCACAATTCCCTTTGAATAGAGGTAGCGAGGCATTGTACTGATTGGTTTGCTTTGGTTTCTTAATAGAATAGTTATATAAATTTTGTTGTCTCTATGTCTATGCACAGATCCCAGTTCAGGAAAGAAGTTGATGACTATTTGATTCTTAAAAAGTTTTATCATATTTTTTTCAGCAATAACATGTTGTATCCTAAAGAAGATAAAGACAGTAAAATATTGTTATATGCTGTAAGTTTATGATTTTACCTGTGATAACAAATACCTTAGTTTTATGAGCCAAATGAGACTATATCAAATGGATTGAATCTCATCCAACCAACCCTAGCCTTAACCTTCTTATGTTTTGACTATATTTACAAACAAGCCTTTACTGTACTCTCAATTTTTATACGCCCACATGAAATGGGGGGCGTATATTGCCGTCACCCATATCCGTCCATCCGTCGGTCCGTCCACAATTGCTCATAAACACTCTACAAGACACAATTCTTGACGGATTTTGACAAAACTTGGTATGAGTGTTTGTAACCACCCAAGGATGAACCCTATGAAAACTAAGCCACCAATTGCTCAAATGTATATGTAAATGAATGAACTGCATGGTACAAGTAGTCATCTTAAGTTTACATTGTGATAATGTTGTGCTAATGTAAATCAGGAATATCAGTAAAATTGTCAAATTGTATTTTCAGTGTAGAAATTGTGACTATCAACAAGAAGCTGAAAATAGATGTATTTATGTTAATAAAATTATGCATGAAGTAGAGTAAGTATATTTGATAAATCTAGCCTTCACTTACAGATTCTATTTTATTGAATGGTATAAGCAGGACTGAATAGAAGAAAGATGTTATTTAAGAATGTAAATGATGAGTTGGTATACTGAGACTGTTGTTACCTCTGCAGATGTAAGATTGTCAATTGTGAAATTGTTCAAGGCAGATAAAATCTAAACTCTATAGATTCGGAAAGTATATTATATAAGATGACAGAAAAAACTATCTTATTACAAGTTTTAATGCTTTAAGGACATAAATAATGCTGGGTTGTAGTAAAAATATTATTATTCTTTTTCAGTGAATTAACACAGATTGTTGGTGATGTTATAGCTGATCCTACTTTACCACGTACAGAAGACCATCATTGTCCTAAATGTTCACATAAAGAAGCTGTATTCTTTCAATCACACAGCTCAAAAGCTGAAGTAAGTAAAGCCTTCAATTCTAGATTTCTAGTTCAAAGTTTACCAAAAAACTTTTGCGAATACATGTAATTATGTAGCAGTGAAAATGTTTAGCGTACAGTATTTAGTGTAGTAGTAAATTTTGCAAAAGAATTTTTTTGTAATTAACACAATTTGAAACAGCAGTTAGCTTACAATAGAAACATAACTCACTTATCTTAATGTGAAATGTCTAGATTAATATGTATAACAAAACACAAGACAATATTATGGAAAATAATACTCTTGTTATATGTGCTCCTCGCTTCTATATGTCGTTCAAATCTTAGATTAATATGAAAAAATACATTCATATATTTGCTTTGTTTTTACCCTTCTATGGCTGAGTCTTGGGTGATAAAATTCAAAGCCACAAAAACTGAGGTCTCTTAGACAAGAGCTGTATATATCCAAGAATTTATGTTAATGTTTGTATATCATTATTTATATTATAGGAAGGAATGAGATTGTATTATGTTTGTGGTAATTCACAATGTTTACATCGGTGGACAGAATGATGGATATTAGAGATGACTTTTATCATTGTTCATGGATACACATCAGTTTCAACCAGATTGTAAACTGTATGCACTTAATCTGATTAAGATACAGATCTGGATTATTTTCTTTGGTGGACTCCATTTGCTATCCATGATCTTAGAATTTTTGTGAACCATCATCAGTCAAATTTTGGTCCCATAATATCAAATCAATCAAGAAATATTTATTGTCTGAGCAAAGTAAAAAGTTTTTTGAATGTTTCCATTATTTTTAAGAGAATTGAAATATCAGCCTCCAACATATAAATACTGTTACACCTAGAATGTCTTTGCATTGATAAAAATATAAGCATTAGCACTTCAAAATTCAAATTTGTTTTTACAAAGGACAAGTTTCAGCCCAAATTTTGGTCAAAATTTCTAGCAGAGAAATATTTTTCTTTTCAATTTAAATCATATTTCTTATAAAAATGGAAAAAATTCTAAAAACTTTTCATTTTGCTCAGATAATAAATATTGAATACATGTATCTTAGAATGTAGTATTATTTTATTTTACAAGCATAATTTTTTTATATTAATAACATTATATATCAAATTCATCAGATTTTGCATAGCAAATGGAATCCACCACTGAAAAAAACTTGAAATGAAACATCAAGATCTACTTTTTTTAAAACTGTAATTATATTGGAAAAGGTTTCAAGAATATTGCGTCATGTGTATATTTCATTGTTAATCATCTTTCATTGCCCAATAAATATTTCAACTATATTGTGTTTTGTTTGATTCGAACCTGCTGTGTTCTTCCCATTACATTTATTTATTTCCATAAGGCAAATGAATCTATGCCTTATAATATTGGTATACATGGCACAATTAATTTGACAAACTACTAGGTCATCAAGACTTTAAATATAGTTTGGGTTAACATAAGGGTTAAGGTTTCAAAGCCAACTAGAGTTAGCTTATTGAAAGATATGGTTTCCACATGTGAAATGTTTGTTGCACATCTTCTCAACACAAATTGATTGGGAAAAAATATAACACGACCTAAAAGTTTTCCTCGATTTCCAACATGGTATTATGTATAAGGGGGATATGAATTGAATATAACATAATATGTAGTATATATGACAAAATACATATTAACTTGAACAAACCTTATAGCTACGTCTTTGGGGCCTATTTAAAGACCATTAGAATGGATGCATCAACACCACGGAATGTACATTGAAGACACTTTTACCAGGTTAGTGACAATAGCCTTCTGTGCTTCTATTTCCATCTGTTGGTGATATTTAAGATTCACAGCCTTTAGCACTCAGGCCATGGTTAATTCTCATCCCATTACGTCCGAGAGGGGATGAAATATCTGAGATTGCCTGAATTTCTAATTTAGTTAAGAGATTTTTGCTTGAAACCAATCAGATACTTTTCCAATGTCAGTCTCTCCAACTTCTGTCACTGAAAAATTCAAAGGTATATCTTGACATAAGCTGGGATTGAACCCTGGACTTCCAGGTGAACAGCTTGAAATCTCCTACCCATTTAGACAAACAGAATACAGGATAGTCTGAAATAACCTAAACTACCAATGTACAGAGAAACTAATTCTAGAATACAGACCATATTAAAAATAAATTATCTCCCTTTGACCACATGCCATCTCCAGTGATTTGAGCTGCATAAAATTTCAGGGTTGTTATATCAAAGCAATTGCCGAATTTGACCAAAAAAGAAATATTACTATAATTTCCACTTAATATATCGTATATGTCTATTTAAAAGGTGGATACCTTTTGAAGTCTACCGAAAGCCTTGCGATGAAAAATATAAATAACTAAGACAACAAGTCGCCCAAATGGAATTTGCGTTGAAGCCGTTGAAGACTAGTTTCATAAGTGAAAAAATGGATACTTTGTACAGGATATAACAACTCAACGATTAATGATAAAGGACAAAACTATTCTGTAGAACGTGTTCATTCTGCTGTTGGATTGTTCTGCCAAACGCTTAAATTTAGAGGGGTACTTACAATTAGAATATTGGATTCAAAATAGTAACTACAGACTTATAATGGCAATAACAGTGGTCGGATAATGGGCTTGTGTCATTAAAATAATTGCGACCAAATGTTAGGGTCCACATTTCACATGAATCTGCCTAATGTAAGCCTAATATGATCCATCAACCTTCTGCTATTTTGAGTCAGTAAAGACTACGTCTGACTAAATCCACAAAAGAACTACTTGTCTGGTAAATAATGCGAAATTGATATTAGTACAGGTTATTATATGTGTCAATATAAGAGACTTGAACTGTGTTGACCCCTAACATATTCCAGACTGGTTACGAGCGAAATTAGGTTTATAAACATGTTTTGTTTTGTCTAATGTCCTGTCGGGTATCACAATTTTATACATTGTAATAACCTTGAACTTCATGAGTGTTGTAAACTTTAAAGATACACTTTAAATATAATCGAGTTGCCAAAAACAAAAGCTACATTAAGGAGAATGTTAATCGAAAATACACAACACAGCTTCCCGGTGGTTTAAATTAATCGTGATTAAGCATATACACATTATAACTATGCACTACCTTTTCAAATGTAGACTTATTTAAAAAACATTAATGCAAAAAAACTTGGTAAGAAAATTCAGCAAGAGTAGGCCTACATTATCTCTTTAAATCATACATTTTCAACACCTCAATTTTATAGAATGAACCAAATCATAATAAACTAAGTGACACGAACTAAAAATATGCCTAATTATTTATCCATTCCGCAGGGCCCTTAAGAAGTCTATGTAAATTTTGATCAGCTGATGGGGCCGGATGACGTTTTGCAATACAAAGTCAATGGAAAAAAATACATGTTCCGACCTAATTTGGACTTAAAAAAAAAAAAAAAAAAAAAAAAAAAAAAAAAAAATACAAAAAACATATAAGTGTTATTCTTTTTTGTTAAGTCAAACAACAAGTTTCGGCGGCCTGCGCAACGAAGTGCTCTTTCATTTCATATGCGGAAACCATATCTTGGAACAAGCTTTAAGCCTTTCCTGAGCTAACCCTAATTGGTTTTACAAAACTAGGGTTAACCCCAACCTTAACCCTAGGTTTAACCCGCTTTAACCCCAAGTCTCGGCGGCCCAGTGGTCTGCGCACTTGCCTGGCAACTTTGAGGACCCGGGTTCGAGTCCCAGTTGAAGCTTTTTTGAAAATTCTTTTTTTGCCAAGTCAAACACCGTCTGTTCTATCATAATAGATATACCAAAGAGGCCCGTGAAGTCTAGTGAAGTCTAGAACGGCCTAAAACTAGGCCAAGTCAAATCGCCCACATTAACCCCTTTGGTGCCAGTGGGGGTATAAATTGTTTCGGGCCCATTTGAACCGCCGTGTTATTCTTTTTTCTGGACCATTTTGTGTTGAGAAGATGCGCAACGAAGTGCTCTTTCATTTCATATGCGGAAACCATATCTTGGAACAAGCTTTAAGCCTTTCCTGAGCTAACCCTAATTGGTTTTACAAAACTAGGGTTAACCCCAACCTTAACCCTAGGTTTAACCCGCTTTAACCCCAAGTCTCGGCGGCCCAGTGGTCTGCGCACTTGCCTGGCAACTTTGAGGACCCGGGTTCGAGTCCCAGTTGAAGCTTTTTTGAAAATTCTTTTTTTGCCAAGTCAAACACCGTCTGTTCTATCATAATAGATATACCAAAGAGGCCCGTGAAGTCTAGTGAAGTCTAGAACGGCCTAAAACTAGGCCAAGTCAAATCGCCCACATTAACCCCTTTGGTGCCAGTGGGGGTATAAATTGTTTCGGGCCCATTTGAACCGCCGTGTTATTCTTTTTTCTGGACCATTTTGTGTTGAGAAGATGCGCAACGAAGTGCTCTTTCATTTCATATGCGGAAACCATATCTTGGAACAAGCTTTAAGCCTTTCCTGAGCTAACCCTAATTGGTTTTACAAAACCTAGGGTTAACCCCAACCTTAACCCTAGGTTAACCCGCTTAACCCCAG